AATTTGATGATGATCGGCCTAATGAATGTCTGTGATTCTGATCTGAAATGCTTGGAGCAAAGAGATTGGTGAGTAGAAATTCGAGTTAATGACCAGAATTTGGGAGGTCCATTGATAAGACCTACACAATAAAACCAGTGGCTTGTGGACAAGTCAGATCAACTTAATAGCTAAGCAATGGATAATCTGCAGTTGTAGCTGGGAGTCAATTAAACTTGGAAGAGTAGAAGATTCCCTGAAAAATGGCAAACCAATAACTTTCTGATCCAGTCCCTAAATGATCCAAAGCTGGTGAACCTTAGGACCAAGGTGAGGAATAGCCTGACTCAAAGAATAAGAGGAGCCCTGCTTTCATTTTACCGTAAGGTATCGCCCTTCAGAATGCAAACTACTTGGATTGAGATAAGCATTAATTATTTTATTAAAGTTAAGAGACTTGACAATGTCAGGTGTCTAGGAGATATGACTAAGGAGTATGAGTTTTCCTGGAAATTTAAATAGAAGATCTGTGCCTGTTTGGCAAGCAAGCAATGGTCTAAATATCTGGCAGTGGAGCAGAGGGGACACCAGTGACGATCAGTGACTGTGACGCCTGGAGGTGCCAGCTCAGAGAGCATCACAATTTTCCTATTGTGGACTCTATTTCCCATCTTTTCATGTGGTAATCAAACAGTGGGTGTTCTCTGTTTTCAGTTCTATCCAAATCTGTGGGAACTGTGCTCTGAGGTTAGATTTTGCAAAGGAACTGCTTTATTTATAGAAGTGTCCTTAAGGAGAGGAAGGGAAGATAGAGGTGTCATCAGGAACCCAGGGTGTGAAGGGGTTCACACATGGGGCAAATTGCAGCTTGTGTTCTACTCTAGAAAATAGGTGCCTTTTCTAATATTGAAGTGACACTAAAGGATAAACATAAGACACCCCATTGCTGAGAAATGTCCCAAACTGAACTCCTGAGAGTCGGCATCTGCACGTAATTACTTAGGGCACATAATTCTTTTATGGGTGCTCACTTAGTAAAGCATTTACATTTACATTCACAGCTCATTAGGTTGCTTGTGAATTTGATTTGAGCATTTTAAGTGGGATTGTTTTTAATCTTTGGAGGCACTATAAACCCACAGTCACGCTCAACTGCTACAGACTGTTGGAAGGAAAACCATATAACTAGTTTGTTTTGCCTCCCAGAAGGAGTTTTATAAGGTAGGGGTGGAACTGACCAGGAGTAATCCGAGGGGAATTTTTTTTTTCTTTCTCTCGGAGTCCAAGGCTTATGGAGCTATCACGACCAAAAACAAAGTTACTTGAAACTCTGATGGAGAAAGACTGAAATTAAACGTGACTTTTGTATTGTTATAAAAATCATAAAATAACAGATCTTTCAACCAGATGTTTAATTTTAAAATAGTAAACACTGCAGACTTTCTAGACTGTCAACGGTTTATAAAACCAATTCCTGTCTTCCCTTGGGCTCTTGCACTGCTTGGTAATGAGCACTGTTGGTCTTTAGTAAGACAGTCACTACCAGCAGTACATTCAGAAGTGCACTCGCTAATGGATTTTTTTTTTTTTTTTTAAGGAAAACCAGATACACTTGCAACTTATTCATGGTGCCAGGTGTTCCTTAGCTGTGCACTTTGGGGCCTGAGTTAAGTGCCTGCAGTTTTCCTTTTTTCATGGGAAAACTATAAAATGAGAGATGTGTTGTTGGGTCATGCTTCATGAAGTGGGGATCTATAGGCACATTTGATTTCAAATTCAAATGTTATCCAAAGTAGACTCTTCCTTGCTGATCTATCAGTGAGGGTCTTGGTAGTAGGGGCTATACCTGAAGCAAGTGCAAACTGTGGTCTTGTTTTTAACACGTGGTGGAAAAGACCAGTTAATCCCTGGCAACCTTGAACATAGTTAAGATTTGATTAGTGTCTTTTTGGAAAGTGTGTGTGTGTGTGTGTGTGTGTGTGTGTGTGTGTGTGTAGTATGGCAACAAATGGTCCCAAAGCTTATTATCCAAAAGCAATGCTTTTTTTTGACAATTTTTATTAAGGTAGCTTATTGATATGATGGTTATTAAGAAAAGAAGGAAAAGGCATTGGAGAAAGCAGGGTTAACACAAAGGTCCACTTGTTTTGTATTAGACTGAAACACGGAGAAGTAGTAAAAGGTGGAATCCCTTTTCTGCTTTCTTTCTCACCATCCCAGAGAGCAGGCCCCACCCTTGTCCAGGCCTGTCCTCAGAGCAGTCCTCTGCTGCCGTCATCCCTTTGGTTGCTCTCTAGCCCTTTCTCTAACATGCATTTAGCTCCTTGGGCTCCCACATCTGCACATGATCCTCTGACAATGCAAGCTTACCTTTCCCTCAATCCTACATAGCTCTTCCAATCATCATGGATGATTTCCTCCCCATAGGAGTAATTACTGACCAGGCATCTATGGAAGACTGGGCATGTCCGGCAAGCCTTGGGACTTCCCAGGTCGCCGTTTAGAGACCACAGCTGTGACTTCTCTCTATTAATTGCAAGTCATTTTTTTTTCCTCCCCGAAATGCAGCTTTATCAGTAAGGAGTTCTGAATGTTAGAGACATCCCCACCCCTTGCCTTAGGTTCTGGCAAATACTGAAGTTAGAATTCCCATTTCAGTTAGGTTCTGATTTATAGAAAGTAACCATCTGCAAAGGGGCGTGTGGAGGAACAAGTGAGTTTAGCTGTAGCATGCACCAGGCACTATCCTACTCTAGAAGGTCCTGTTCTCAAGACTCAACCGTGCTGTTCTGCCTGGAGTTGTACGGCAACCCTAGGAGTCTTGGCAGGTAAAATTGTTCAGTTTCCTATCTGAGCATTTCTGGGGCAGGCACTGTATTCCCCATAGGCTTAGGATAATGGCTTGCACAAAGCATGTGTTGATTATTATCTTTTGGTTAAGTGAATGAATTTGGATTTTCTTTGAGCAGGAAAGGCACAATAAATAAAATGTAAAGGCAAAAGAGAGGAGAAAGTTGGCTTTGTTTGTCTCTTCCCACACAGCATTTGCTGGCAGACAACTTAGATTCAAGTTATGGCAATAATATTTACTAGCCATGTGTCCCCTATGAGCCTGAATTTCCTTGTTTGTCAAATGAACATATCGACTGAGTTTTCTCCCTCAGAGGATGATTGGAAGATCCAAACAGCATAATAACTGTGTAGAAATTGCCTTAGGAGCATATGTCTGCAGCTCAAAATGACAACTTTGACTATTGGTCCCAACTTCCCATCCTTGGGAATAGGATATCATGGTCAAACATTCATATAATGTGACCCAACACCTACTTGAAAATAATGGATCAAATTGGTGATGAGCACTGGACCCAACGGAACCACTTAGAACCCTGCCTTGGGAATTTGGAGGTGTCCTGAGAGGGACAGTTTCCATTGTCTGAAATTTTTAACTTGGAATTGAGGACAGCATCCTCTCCCAGCCTCATTACTCACTGAGTGGCTGAAAATACAGGACTTCCAAGAAATGAGAAACACATGTGTAAAAAGAATCAGAGAATAAAAGTGATGAAAAAGTGCTCTGTGGGTTCCTGAGTCCCTGCTGCATCTTTGCTCTTGGGGGCTCTAAGACATTCTTGTATCCTTATAATAAATTCCCACTCATGCCTATGCCAAATCAAGTTGATTTTTGCTTCTTTAAGTCAAAGCATTAAAGATTTTTTTTGTGATGCATCTTCTAATATAATAATTTCCCCATAGGTTTAAGTATAGCCAGGGAGCTTCTTACCTCACAGAAGATCTCTGTATTTTAAAATTAATAAGGAGTAGAGGTCCTTTTTGGACAGTTTTGATCCAAAGCCCAGAATTTCTAGCTATGCCACTGTCTCCTCTTATTCTCTCTCAAGGTAACAAGCATCCCAAACCCCAAATGCTGTCTCCATGGTGATCAAGATTCCCCTATAGTATCAGCCTGGCAAGGGCCACAAAATATCCATGCCCACAGACATGTGTGGTATGCTGAATTAATGGTGTGGGGAAGTGTCAGGAAAGGAAACAAGGCTACTCTTTTTCATGCAATTAATGACTTTTGTTTCTGTCTACCTTTTGCTGGTACAGCAGAACAAGGTGCAGCAAGTCGCTACAGAAAATTAGCTGCAATTTACGTAATATTTCAAATGCCCTGCCAGTCACTTGATTATGAGATTGAAAGGAACATTTCATTTGGAGATTTGCAATTTTCTGGTGCTATTGGCATTACACAATTACATTTCCCATCATTTATCACGTTGTGAAATACCAAGACAAATTTGCTTCTCCTTACATTTATCATATTACAGGGGAATATAGAGGCAGATTTAGCCAATTGCTTTGCATCAGACGATGCCCCTTGTTAGCTGGGGACATTTAGCAGCATTTCTGCTCAAAGATCTCTCTTGAATATATTCTTCACCAACAGGATTGTTCCTGCAATTACTTTGAAATTGAGATTTGTCTCCTTACCCACAGCATTGCATTCCAAAAGGAGGAGCTGAGGCTTTTTTTGACTTTTTTTATTTGACTTTTTTTCAGCAGGTGCACAGAACGAACCAAAAATGACAACACTACAAAGGAATTTCCTTTCCTGAGAATCTGGGAACAACCGTGTCACAATGGGGAATTTAGGCATAAGGCCAGGTGAGAGCTTTACAAATGTGTTAAGTATTGACTTGCTCTATTATATTTACAGCTCCTTAAAAAATTTAGCTTTTAAACAAAGGTAACTTAAATATTTAACGTTAGAAGCAGGTAAAGAGCCTGAGGAGCTTTGCACACACAAAATTCTCTGCAGGCCATTAGGTACTCTTTAGCTCATGGGCTGACCTAGATTTTCCTTTCCTCTATAAAGACGGTATTAAAAAATGATTCAATCTCTGCCCCTTGGTGTAATTGAGCCTTTCAAGTAATTTGTAAGTAGCTGGCCCCTGCATCAGAAGCTTATGCTTGTCAAAAGTAGGTGCATTCCTGAGCCCCAGCCTAAGCCTACAGAACCATGCATGCCTCCTGGGGCCTGAGGAAGCTGCATTTTAAACAAGTGCTAGAGGTGATATTGTTAGGCACACCAAATGGTTGCTTGCATTCCTGGATGATCATTAGAATAACTCAGGGAGATTTTGAAAATTCGGATTCTCTGGCTGCACCCCAGACAGATTAGGTGAGAGCCTTTGGGACTCAGGTGTCAGACAGTTTTAAAGGTCTCCTCCACTTGATCCAGGGCAAAGCTCTGTGTGGAAACCAGTCCTCACCCACAGCACAGGCCTGTCAGCTATCATCTCAGTCTTCAGTGAAGCATTTCTGAAATAGGGACCAGGGGAAAGAAGCCTTAACTCCCGAGGACTCAAGAGTGGGCTGTGGCTTAAAGGTCTCTTTAATACTGAGATTGCTGTTGTTCATCAAGCCAGGTTCAAGGCTTTCACTCCCTGTGGAACTGTTTCATTTTCTCTGACTCTGACCAGGTCTCGGGAGGAGGACTCGGTTCCGGTATCAGGTTTCCCCTTTCTCTCCACAGTCACATTCTGTTTTAGTGTTTAGAGGTTTATTGTGATCTGAATTGATATTTCTTGCTAATTTCATCTAAATTATCTGTCTCTCCCTTCTAGGGCACAAGCTTCATGAGGGCAGGACTGTGTCCACCTTTTGCCTAGAAGAATGCCTGACACATGCTAGGTATCTGATGATTGTTGATGATGGAAAAAATACGTACCTTGCCAGTTAGTAATTAGGTTAGTAATTAGGAAGGTCCAAGAGTTCTGCCTGAAATTTGATCTGGACAAGGAAATTAGCATGGCTTTTATATAAATGGATGATCAATACCATTCTCTTCTTTAGCTTCCACTGTTATCTTCTCTTGTTCCCCACTTAGTCAGTAAGGCGATTTGAAGGCTTACCTTCAGAATAGCTTAATTTATTAATTCAGGCCCACTACTTGATTCTTATGCTCCCAACCTGTTCGGGTTGTTCAGTGAGTCTGTTCAGGTCTGGGTCACAGGGTTCAGTGCTTACATTAAGAGACAACTTCACCCCATGCTGGCTCTAAGATCATGTGTTTGCACTGGGGATTTAGGAGTCATGGAGGAGCAAAGTCATGCATGCATTGATAAGAGCAGAGGTAAAATTCTACTTTGGGTTTGAGAAATCAGCTGGGATGTTGAAAATTAAGAGACCTCCAAAAGTTCTCTCTGACTTAACACTGAAAGGCCTCAAATGTGAGTCATGTGAGAACACTCGGTATTTAATTTATAGGACCTGATTCATTTTAAAAAGGGTATTACTGTATCGAGCTGCTGAGTAAACGGTCACTTGAGACTTTAGTGAACAAGGTCTCTTTAAAGAATAGGGGACATTTTTGCTGTGAAGTTATAGAAAATTGCTTAGGGAAAGCTGTAAAGCATCCTGTCTTCCTAGGGACCTGACATGGTTAAAGACTGCGTTGGGAGCCTCTGGAGACCAGGAGGGAGTGAGGACAAGGTAGAAAAAGCCTAAGGGACTCACCTGGTGATGGGAAGGTTCCCAGAGGACGAGGCTGTTCCTCTAAATCATAACATCAAAGCTGTAGCATATCAAGATGAATCTGGGCTCCTGTGAGTATCAGAGGCCTAATTTGGGGGTTGGAGTGAACCATGGTATCACTGGTGACATCTGTGGTCTACTGATGGCTGGTTCAGTCTTTTGAGCAGATGGGACTGATCAGTATCTCCTTTCTTGGTACTGGAGGAGAAGCTAAGACATGAGGTGTCAGAGCCAGTGTGAGGTAAGGGTAACTGTAGCTCCATGACCAGGCAGAATCCCATACCTAGAGTTGTCTGGATTTAGGAAATGTATACCGGTTCCATCCTACCTCTGCTGGTGGGGCTGGACACCCACAGCTGCCAGGCTGTGTTCTTAAGTAGCCTAAAACTAAAGGGACTTAATATTTTGGGCTGGGGATAAGTCAGTGTGGATGCTGTTGCTGTTTGCTCCCCTACATCTGGGAATCCTTTCACAGTCACTCTGGTGCACCCCTAAGATCCAGAGCACTCGTGCAGAGTCTGAAACCCTAAGGACCTGTGTAGACATGTGGTTGGCTGATCCTGGACAACCAGTCTACCGCTCTCCACCTCACTGTTTTAGTGAAGTTCATCACTGGTCAGAAGGCAAGTGATTCCTTATAATATTTAAAATTCATATTAAATAAAGAAAAAAATTCTTTCTCATTGTCCTCATTGCCTTTAGGTACTCTGCTATATTAAAGTATGGTTTAAATGTGAACGCTTGTGCATTTCTTACCTCCTTTTTTTCCTTCTTTTGGTATTGGGGGATCGAACTCAGGGGTGCTTTACCACTAATCTACATCTCCAGTCCTTTTTTTTTTTTTTGAGACAGGACCTCAGTAAGTTGTTGAGGCTGGCCTAGAACCTGCAATCCTCCTGCCTCAGCCTCCTGAATCACTAGAATTAGCCACAACATATCTGTTTTCAGACCTGTCAGACCAAGATGCCAAATCAAGATCTCAGGACAAGTGCATGACTATTGCTATTCATGCTAGGGACTTCACTGCTCTCTGATCAGTTGTTTGCCTTTTTGTTCATTCAGCAAACTTGTATCAAACTTACTGTGCCTCAATTAGGGTGCTGAACACTGGGCTTGGAGATGAAAGGCACCACTTCCCATCAAATAGCTTGCAAGATGGGGTACAGTATGCTGGATGGAGTCAGGGAATTTAGGAGTTTGGAACTGAATAATGGCAAGCTTTACATATTTCCAAGTTCTCTTACATAAACGATCTCATTTAATCACTGAACCTGTCCAGGGGAGAAATTTACACACGATGGAAATAGAAGCTTTGCACAAATGAAATAAATACTTCAGGTTACATGGTGAGCGACACTGTGAGTGCTCACACTCAGGACCCCTCACTCTGGGTATGATGCACTTGTGACACACATCAGCAGCCCCCAAACTCAGCCATCCGATGTAACCATCTACACACATCTATTCCGGTGCACATATGCATACGCACACACACTTAAAGTTATTTATGAGAGCATTTCACAGGTGATCATTCCTGAGGGGGGAGTAGGAGAAGTTGTTAGCAACTGTACATTTTGCTAATGAGCATTCCCAGAGCTGAGGATGACAGATCTGGGTTTTTAGTCCCTTCTGAAATGGCCTCTCTCTCTCTCCATGGCAGCATCCAGGGTTCATCCAGGGCTCACTCCAGCCTCCAGTCCAGGTATGCAGAGGTCAAGGTCTGCAGTAACAGATCTTGGAACTGTTGTCAGGACTGAAGCATGAACTTCCTCTCTCTGAAGAATATTGCCTGCCAGTGAGGTAAAAGTAATTACTTGTCCCTGCTAATTGAGTTTTGAACTTTAAAGTGGAGGTTCTGACTTAGGTTAACATGGCATGGGCCAAGTTAAAATTTTAACTTAAAAAAAAATAGCAATGAACTTCAGTGCTTGGAATGCAGCAGGCTAAATTCCTCAGGGCTGGAGCCAATTTTCACATCTTCTGCAGGCGCTGACCTCCCACAGAACAGTCTTCAGGCATGCCTGTCTTGTAACCTTGGCTAATGCAGAAAGGTTACATTACTGTAAAGCAGGAAGTTGTTTCAGTCAATTTCATCCTGCAGGAGCCCCTGACTCAATGAACTTCTCATCCTTAGTTTTGGAGATTTTTTAAATTTTTTAAAATTTTTTCTCTATCTTTAATATCTAAAATTTATAGACTGCTTCTATGTGTTAATCACTGTTCTAAGAAAAACATCTAAACTAATTTCAATCTTCAGAACTATACTGTGTGACAGGCACTAGTTTCACCATTCAGCAGCTGAGTTAGCTGAGGCACAGAGAGGCTAAGTAATTTGCCTGAAGTCACAGAGTTTGGAAGGTAGGGCCAGTATTTGGAGTCATATGGTCTGGCTCTACAGTGTTTAGGTTGAGGCTCTCAGGGTATTGCCCAGAATGGAGTTCCTGTGTGACTTCTCCTGCCAGGGTCTGGATTCCACAGTGTTTTGAAACCTGAATGAAAAGCTGGCAAGTGCCTGGCCTGAGTTTGGCATGTCAGCTCCTAGCCTGGGATGCAGGTGTCCTGCAGAGGGTGTCCTTAAGAAATAATCTATAGCCAGGCACGTGGTGCACGCCTGTAATCCCAGCAGTTTGGGAAGCTGAGACAGGAGGATCGAGAGTTCAAAGCCAGCCCCAGCAGGTACTAAGCAACTCAGTGAGACACTGTCTCTAAATAAAATACAAAATAGGGCTGGGGATATGGTTCAGTGCTCAAGTGCCCTTGATACCAACCAACCAACCAACCAACAAACAAACAAAAAAATAGAAATAACCTAGAAGACTTAGTCTTTGGGCAGGAATTGATATCAGACTATTATGTGATTGTCTCAACAGGCTCCTAGTCAACTTGCCATTGCCCTGTCCCCAGATCTTTGGTGGAGGCAGGAAGGCCCTGGGGGAAGATTGAACATCCTACTTTGAAGTATGGAGTTCCAGAATATTTTCTGTTGATGGAAGTGTGCATGGTTTATTTTCCAAACAAGCCATAACTGGACATGCAGGGCACTCACATCTTTTCTCACTGGAGTGGTTTGGGTGTGGCAGAGTGGACTAAGATGACTGGCTGCTTAGCTTTCTGTCACTAAGTTGGGATTCCCTGGCCATTGTAGCAATTGCTATGATTTAGCTGGCATTAAACCTGTTGTGAGAGTTGAGGGTCTTAAAGGGAAGATGTCTTGCCACAAAAGTTTTTCCATTTGAAGATATTTTCTTCAAGGGGAATTATCTTTTGGTAATTTCTTAACTTTTGATAAAACTTCAAAACATTATTATTAAAAATCAACCTTGGTTCTAAAGTTCTGAGTGAAGGCTTATTGTTGCTAGTTGAGGGAAGACTTTGGAAATGTGAATACTTAGTTCCTTGGGGCTTCTGTTTCTTACCTGCAAAATGGTGGTTATGATATCTACCTCATGAATTATTGAAGTATTTATGCTCAGTATATCTTCAACAGAACAACAACAACAACAATAACAACAACTTCATGTGCAATTAGACAGATACAGCAACATTTCCATTCGAGACAAAAGCCTTTGTAATTTGCTCTCATTTGCAACATCTCCATCCTCCTAAGTGTTTTCTTTTTACCCTGACTATTCAAACTGGTTCAGTTAGATACAAAGATGTCTCTGAAGACCACGGGACTATTAATGCCCCGGCTTAATTAAATGACAAGTTCAATTTCAACAACACTGATTTACTTGCTGTGGGAAAAGTGCCAAACCTGGAGTGCGTTTAATTGAGCAAAAGTGATACCTTGTTTATTCTTCACCTACCAAATGGCTGTGTGTGTGTGTGTGTGTGTGTGTGTGTGTGTGTGTGTGTGTGTAAGAACCAATACATTAAAAAGTAGAAAAATATAACAGTACTGGTATAGGTCGATTTGGATCAGAATTTCCATGTTAGGCTGCTGAGGATTTTATCCCAGTGTTTGCATCTCAAACTGTGGGTGGCAGCAGAGACTTGGGAAATATCTTACGTGCAAGTCTAATTGCTTTTCAAGGCATATTAATGGCAAGGAAATGATTGCACATAGTAATAAGTCAATTGGGTCTTCATTTTTGAACTGCACTTGGCTTTTCTTCATGGTTTCTGTTGCATTCTTGTGGTCAAAAGTGATAGAG